CTGCATTCCATGGTCCACTGTCTAGTCACCAGCCTTCTGGTTATGGGGGCTCTGACAGCTTCTCCTGACTCTACTCCTCCAACCCTTCCACTTGAGAACTTGTATTAAATCCCTCTCAGCTCGAAAGATCTAGATTGTCTTCTCTTTGCTGTATTAAACCCTGACTGATCCAGGGAACGAGGCTGTTCGGGTGCTTCGTACTTGAGGTCAGGATTAGTGTGAGCAGAGAGGGTAGTAGAGACCCTGCAGGTGGTAAGATGACTGTCATCAGCGGGGAGCAATTGGGGAGTGCTGAGCCTGATCCCAGCGAGCCTGCCTGCTATCCAGAAATCAGGAGGGTGAAGAGATGAGCGTGCTGAATCGCTGTCATCTTGTTCTGCCTCTCTCGCAACAAAGCCTCACTTCGGCTGGTACCCCCTTCTGATTTTCACAGCAAAGCAGGGAAAACAGCAATTTTTGAAGCCTTCAGGCAAACATTATTTTACTAAGGCTCAATGACTGTCTGCTCTGCCTATTTCGATACTTGATTGTTACTGTCTGTGCTGTGCTCTAAGATCTGGACACTCACTCCATGATGAGGTTATAACCGATTTAAGGGAAGATAATGAGTTTTCAGTTTCCAGCATGAGAATGCATGATGAATTACTTGGGCAAGTCAGCTTCACTCAGTGTGATCTGCGAGCTGAGTTGACGTTGCAAATTTCTGCTGCAGCACAGAGTAGGGCCGTCCCCTCTGCCCACCTTGTTGCCTAAACTCCACCTTAGGGCCCTGCCCCTGCAGATATTATTCAGGAGCTGATTCGTTGACTCATCAGTTCTTGAGCAGAGACGAGACCGAATATATGTTACTTAACTAATTTTTGTCCAGAAGGAACTGATTGCTCTGGTAACTGTCATTGTTCACAAACGCATGGTACCGCCCCCTGCAGGAGGCACACACAGCCCTACTCTGTGGCTTGCAGCTGTGGTCACGTGAGACTGGCCCTGGCCAATGATGTCTGAGTGGAAATGACTGTCCTTGGTCCTTAGTCCCTCTAACCACATGTCAGCAATGATGCAGATGTGTACAGGTGGCTCCAGACAGAGGCCCAGGCGGCAGAGTGAAGAAGGTGGAGCAGGGCTGTCGGAATCCAGACTGGACATGTTGCTAACACTTATGTTTATATATTAATTTTGGACTAGTTAGCTTACTTCTGTGAGGTAACTGGCATTCTAGAAGCCTAATATATCACACCTCTTGTCCTGGCCAGAGTTTGGTCCCAAAGGGCTGGACTGGGCATGCTCAGGTCTTTCTTCCCAAGGCACTAATCAAGTCGCCCCTCCTCCCTCACAGGGGCTGGAGGGGTTACTCCGAAGGAGATCCAACCCCCGGAAAACTTGAGGCAAGGGAACTGGAGGTTTCTGAAGGGATTTTGTTACTGTAGAATTTTATCACTCCATTTATCTAAAAGAATTTGCCAGAAATAGAACTATCAGGAGAGGCCATAGAAATGTTAATTTTTCGTATAACACCCAGTGCTCCATGCAGTATGTTATATGAAAACAATGGATCGTGGATCACCACATCAAAAACTAATGATGTATAGTGACTAACATAACATAATAAAATTTAAAAAATGTTAATTTTTGTCTCATTTGTATTCTTGCATATTTGAAAGTGGGGGGGGCATTCAAGTGACAGATCAAGGCATTGAAATAAGTGTAGATAATGGTAATCCTAATGGTTACATTAAATAGAGGTAATTTAGTAGCACATAGCTGTGATAGGAAAGCAACTCCGAGGTAAACGAGAATGGAGGCTTAAAGGTTAATATGACCGACTTTCTGCCAAGACATCCCTTGCTCCAAGGGCCTGGCTCATTGTTAATTGACGGCCTGTGGCTCCCAGCACAGTGCTCTGCTCCGGCTGCTGGACCTGAGGGAAAAGGGCTTGTTTTGAAACCCAGTGTTCTTAATGAAGCAGATCCTGACCCTGAAATGTGCAAGAACATCATCTGAAAGTGTGATGAAAAACTGGTCTATTGAAAAGTCAGTGACCTTTCCAGTGTTGATTTTAAAATAATAGATTTGTTTTATTTGACACTTTGGTAAATGCTGTAATAAAACATTACAAGGTCAAAGAAATTATCCAGTGTGTTTTGTGTCTTGCAGCCTGGAAATCCAAACTATATGCTTGCAAATTAGCATCCTTATTAGTGAAATTTTGTTGCAAATTTTGGCATGGACTCTTTTGGAGTGTCAGACTTTAAGGCGCTATCACAGAACTGGCAAGATTTGAGGGTTTTTTTTTTGTTTTTTTTTTGTTTTACTGATTTAATAACATTGTTCTTTATGGTCCCCATAATCACCTGCTTTATGAACTGTGGCTAGAGCTGATGTTGCAACTGGTAATTTTCTTAGAAGCCAAATGCATTTATATTTTTCCGTCTTTTGATTTCCATCATTTCTGGGAATTGTTAGTAGATGGAATAAATAGAGAATACATTATAAACAATTCAAAACACCAAAAACAAAATTCCTTGGGCCTTTTACAGATACCACACATGCAAATAAATGTGGCTTTGCATTCCAATGGCATTCGAGTGGGGATTACATTTTCCTCATTAGCCTCTTTCTTAACCAAACAATATTGTTTTTCAAGCCTGTTTATAGAAATGAAGTTTGATGTTTTAAATTAATTCACACCAACTCAGTTCAAATGAAGAGGTAGACTGTCTTCTTTTGATCCTGGTCCTTTGTGCCGTCCTGGTTGAACTCTATCAAAGCAGTCAATTGGTTTAGGATGAAATCGGGAGATTGTGTTGCTTGCAAAATCAAAACATTCCCAAAGTACTAGGTGTGGTTTTTACTGCATTTCTAAGGAAAGAGTAGAAGAGTGATTGCAATGTACACCTGAGGTCTGATGTGCCTGCTTTCCTGTGGCAAACCTTTATAAAATGAATGTACTTATTTCTAATTGAAAGAATACCCAGTCCTTTTTCCATCAGTCATAACCAATAATTCCTCTGCTAATATGTGGACCTTAATTTGAAGCAGTGGGAATCTTCTCTTTCCTCCAGGAAAATCAACAGAGTTGTGTAGAAAGATTGCATAATTTTGGTAGGAGCAGAAATATAACTGGATTATTTTTTAAACTTCTGTAAACACTCGTGCATGAATCTGCAATCTGTGCAGTATACATTGTTTTCCACGTCGATATTGGAGTGTGGGTGATAGGTGTGTGTATAGGTGTTGTCCATCTCAGTAAAATGGAAAGAGACATGAAAGTAATTCTCAGTCTGAGTTAAACCCACCAATTTTAGGAAAACCTGTGTTGGTTGTGTTCACTCAGCTGTTAGCTCTGACTCCTTTTGGCAGGCGTTCTGTTTCATTCCACCATCTTCTCCTGCATTGTTTTTAGACTCCTATAATCCTGGCTCAGGATGGCATGAGTTAGAGTTGGAGAGAGAACCAGCACTAGTTTTCTTAGTGTCCACGGTTTCAGAACACACTCTTTAACGTTACTTGACACCCTTTTCTACATGTGCTTTCTTTAGAAAGTGGAAAAATACGTTATTGAGAGTTTGTCAGAGGAAACCATATTGCCAAACATTTGCAAAACTGAATTATTGACAAAATGCATGTGATTCCAAAAGGGCCTGCTTAATTGAAAGCAGTTGCAGTGTTTCAACATGAGAATGTGGCTTATCCTTTCTGTTGTCTATCTGTTTTTAGATTGCTATAGAACATACCTCTGGACTTCCACTGTCCCCAGATAGCCGTTTCTACACAGCTAACTCAGAACAGATTAGAGCTAGAGTTTTAGGACCCTTTATGGCTTTTATTTCTTGAGCAAGCATTCAGGAAAATCGCATCCTCATGTTCTCCCACGGTCACCTCTAATTCCTAGGAGGCCGAATTCCCGCGCATGCCCAGAGTGCTCGGCACAGCCTACCAAGTTGCACAATCAGGCTTGTCCACTCCCCGCGTCGGCCGTGGTTGCCAAGATGCAGCTGTGCCCTCGGCTGGGCCTTTGAGGGGATGCTCATTCAAGTCATGCAGCTTCAGGGCTGATTTGTTGCTCACTCTTAAATGTCCCAGTTTGTCTGACATTTAGCCTACCTCTGAGAATGACACTTAAAATCAGCTCCGTCACTAACCAGAAACAAGGCTAATTTCATATGGTGAAAGAACAGTCCGCCTCATGGAAAATTGCACTTGCGTACTCGGTGATCATAATTAACAATTAGAATTGAAGATGTAAAAAAGCCCAAATGCGTGCTGTGTGTCATGTGTGGTAAGGGGGGATTTTTCAAAAATCTAATGTATTTGACATCTTAATTGCCTTTTGACTAACCGAGAATTGACATCTTGAAGACTGACCAAAGAAGGAGAAAAAAATTGTGTTTCATTTTGTCATTTTAAATATGCTTCCTTTGTCAAATGACTCCCTTAATTAATACGGGAAACTATCCAGGGCAACGTAGTTTGTCTTCATCTGGAATTTCAGAAAAGCTAATGTCCCAAACTGTCTTCTGAACTTTTCAAACTTTCTGAACTTTTGTGGTCGAGCTTCATCTTGTGTAAAGATGTTAGAGCTGTGTTGAGATTAATATCAACAATCAGAAAGTAATATCATGGTTCTGGTTGTCATTATTCTGTTTAGACACGCTAGAACTAGATTGCCTGTGTTAAAACTTAATGGACTAGAGAAGAGAAGCATCCAGAATCTTAATGATGGGGGCTTCCACTATCCAGGCATTTGCCAGATGTCTCAATTTCTAAACTCAGAACATCTGATAAATCCACGATTTGCCTCACTTAGTGTTCTCAGTCCTGGCTACACATTAGACTAATCCCAGAATTAAAAAAATATCTATATCTATATTGATAGGCAGGCTCCACCCTTCTAATTAAAGCGGAATCTCTCAGGGTAGACTTCTTTTTTAAGTGCCTCTAAGTGATTTGAATGTGCAGCCAGGTTGAGAATCACTAACCCACATGATAATTTCATCTTTCAGAAGGGAGAGGAAGTGATGAAGAGGATTAACACCCTGCTTCTAATTCTGGCCAACTCGGAGGCCCTGCATGGAAAATCAGAAGTGACAAGAATCCTGGAAGAGGGCCACCTGGCCATCAGAAAATTCCAGAGGGATGTGGTCACTGCCAGACACACACTTGGTTAGTTGGAGTTTTAAAATACCTCAGGAAATTATAAAAGCCTGACTTTGACCCCCCTCCCCCATCTGAGATTCCAAAAAGAAGCAGGGGAGAGTCCTCAAAATAAAATTTGGATGCTACTATTGTAAATGGTCTTAGACAGGGGGGAAAAAAGAAGAAGAAAAGAAAAAGGAAGGAGGTAGCCAAGAAGATTTAGTGTCTTCATGCAGGAAGCTGTCTGCTGAGAGCAGATATATTTTTAAATGGTATATGTAAAATGTGAAAGATGATCTAGAAAAACAAGCATGGATACAAAAACTCTGTCAGGAATATGTGAGAAAAGAGTCAGAAAGATTAAATCCAGAAAGAGGCTAACATTCTAGATGATGAAGAGGGCTGTTTGAAACAAAAGCAAGAAAGTGTAGAATCCATGCAGGGCTGTGATAGTGTTAGGTCAAGGTTATGTCAATGGTGAAAATACAAGGTGGCCACACCTGCAGACTCCATTTTACTCTTTAAGATGAGAAAGGGCGGGATGAAGTTTGAGAAGAAGGAATTAAAAAATAAGATCACTTAGGAGCAAATGCTAGCTGTCCTAAATAAATTCAAACACTGGAAATAACAGACCAGAATATTATCAGAATTTTCAAATGAAATGGCTTTCATCTTTAAAAAATATGGAGAATGAAAAAAAAAAGGAAAAAAGTATGGAAAAGGAAAGAAGTATCTAAACACTGTCCCACATTTTTTAAAAGATTTTATTTATTTATTTGACAGAGAGTACAAGCAGGGGGAGAGGCAGAGGGAGAAGCAGACTCCTCACTGAGCAGGGAACCTGATGTGGGGCTTCATCCATTGAGCCCCACATCGGGCTCCCTGCTCAGCAGGAAGCCTGCTTCTCCCTCTCCCACTCCCTCTGCTTGGGTTCCTTCTCTCGCTGTCTCTCTCTCTCTCTGTCAAATAAATAAATAAAATCTTTAAAAAAATGTTCAAATATGCAGAGAAATAGAAAAAAATAGTACAATGAATACCCATGACCTAATACCTTTAATCAATAGTTATAGTCATTTTGCCATCTTTGCTTCATATGTTCTCTTGTTGTTGGACTATTTTAAACACCCCAAGCACTAACACATACATCTGCAGAAAATGAGCACATCCTTTTACATAACCAAATTCTAATATATCCCACTTAATAAATTAATATTAATTCCCTAGGATCATGTAATACCCAGTCCATATTTAAGCGGTAACCTTGGTTTTATGGATTTTTTTTTTTCCAATTTAGAATCCAGTCGATTCTAGAATCCAGTTGAGTAGCACATACGACAGTTATGTCTTTGGTCTTTTTAAATCTAGACTAGCACACATATACCCTTTTCACATGCTAGGTTGATTTTTGGAAAAGGCGAGGCCAATTGTCTTATAGAATGCCCCAGTTCTGGACTTTTGATTCTTTTGCTCTTTCATCTTCTGCCTATGCCTTAGATCCCAAGATCTATCTTGATGCAATTCAGGTTATACATTTTGAAGAATATTTGATAAGTGAGAATATCTACTTCGGAGTGCATGACCTCAGCAGCACGTTGTCTGGTTGTCCCACTGTTGGTGACATCGACTTTGGTCACTGAGTTAATGTGATGGCAAACACAGTTCTTTTCACTTACTAGTAAGAAGCATTTTCTCTTTGTCAGTTAGCAAGTCTATCAGAAGGGTAGTAGTTTGGCTCCATGAAAAATTCAGTTCCCTAAAGTTAGGTTTTTTGGGTTTTTTTTTAAAACCATAACTCATTGTGCTTTTGGTTTTTATAAACAATTATACTCAGTTTTTCAGAGCTTTCATCTAGCTGGGTATTTTCAACCTAAAATTACAAAATTCTCTATTCATATCTTTGTCATTTTGGGTACCATTTTGGTTTACAATAGTCATGTATATCTGGCCTAGTAAATTGGGTATTAATGGGTTACCAGAGCTATGTGTTGTAGTTCTCTTATTCACTCATTTTCTTTTATGATTATTACATGCCAGGTTAGAAATGGAACTATGTAGTGTTATGGAAGTGAGTGGCATATTGCCATGAGTAATGAGATATGATCCCAGCAGCACCCACCACACCAAGAAGCTGAGCGTTGACTAAAGGTATGATGGCTACTAGACTCTTATCGTGAACTAACTGTGCCACACATTGAAACTGAAATGTGGGTCCCTTAGAGTAACTTCTTTGTTTCCTGTTTTAAGAAGGTCAGAAGACGGGAGTGCAAACATTCCAGTAACCAAACATGGTGGTATCAAGCCTAATTAGGAATAAAAAAGCATTTCTAAAATCTGTGTCTGTTCATTTTCCTTATTTCATTGGTTTCATTTCACCCTCATCTGTGATTCATTTGCCTTTTGTCATCTTCCACAATGGCTTCTGCAAGAATATCAGTCTTAAAACGTACAACATGGCTTGCACCCACTTCAAACACTGTTTAAAATCTCATTTATTATTTTGCACTGTGGTCTCACTAAAAGCCAACGTAACTGAGACTGCAGAGCAAATACCTTCAATTCCCAGGGTGAGAGGGAAAAGAGAGAGCAAGAGCGAGCCAGAGGGAGAGTTAAAACTGTGCGAAGCTCCACAGCAGACATGGGAGAAAAACAAGAAAATTCAGAAGTCTTAACAGGTAGCTGAAGTCTCTAGACACAAGAAAACTGGAAATTGCCCAAACCTGGGCTCAGTAGAGTATAGAAATGTGATGAAGACCAGGAGTAGTATTTTTTCCAATAAGAGGTTAGTTACTTAAGGACCACATGCCCAGGATTACAAAATTTGCCTGAGTAGCCCAGGGAACACTTATCTGCAGTAGAATTAGTAAAAAGGAGAGATGAGATGCTATGTGAGCCACCTATTATGTGAGACTATATTTAGAACTTGAAATTAACGCTGGGAATAATCATATTAAAAGGATATCAGCAGATGAAAGCTATAGTAAGTAGGAACTCTATTTTTCTAATTAGCTTAAATTTTTAGATACTAAAATCCAGGTGTTTGGGGGAGTCAAACCCAGTCACTAGGGTTTAGCATCATTCCTTTACAGAAAAACGCAAACAAGATCACGTGCTGGATATCTCAGGCCAGAAGCTCCATCATATTCATTCAACTCATCTCCCTTCCTCCCTAGAGGAAGAATAGACTATAGGCACCTCCCATGGAAGGCCGCTTCTGGGCTGTGCTGGCGTGGAAGGGGAGAGGGTCCCAGCTGTCTGTAGGTGTGAGCTCCATTGATGAACCCGCACCCCAAGATCTTGGTGAAACATATTTTGAATGACAGGATAAGAGCATTTACCTAAGAGGGAAAAGCAGATGGGAAGGAAACTTCCTGTTTCTGGTGCAGTGACTATTTGTTACCCTTTTTCTGAGAAAGCTCTAAGTCACACCTGTATAAAGAGCTCGACCTCCAGACCACACCTGTACTTCGGGCAGTTATTTACTCAGCCGCTCACCGCAGCAGGGTCTCCTCACCCTGGAAGCTGCAAGAGGTATGGACATAAGAGAGTAACAGGCATCAGACTGCAATTCTCATTGCTCTTGCTGAAGAGACCTCGGCTGGAAGAGCCAAAGGAGGCGGGGCCCCAAGCTTGCACCTTGGACCTACCATTCATTTCAGTTAACTTACCTAGTTCAGTGCTGCCATCTTCAACTTCAAATTCTGACAGATTGGACAGCCGACTTTTTCCCTCTGGGCCAGGTAAAATAAAGAATCAATAGACAAGGCATCACTCAAATATGCGAACTGAAGTCGCTGATGATGGAAATTCTCACACAAGTGAACATTTAGTGGGGAGTGCTATCAGGAAGGCCCCAAGTGACCCCAAGTGGATAACCTTTAGAGAGCTGGAAGAAACGTGAGGATGGCTTTTTCTACCAGGCTGGAGATTCAGTGCATATGAAATGTAACTTCATGAAGCGACTACAAACCTATTTCAAGCCATCGTTTGGTCAACTCAGGAACTGTCTTTGTCCCTAGAGTCACCTATGAATTCTAGGGTGGTTTACACAGAGCCAAGGCATTTGAGAGGCTCATCTAGTTCTCCATGTTATCCATCCATTCAGGGACACTGAGTTGCCCATCAACCAGGTTGTCCCTGGTCACAATTCAATCCCTTCATCTCTATCTGCCTCATGATGGTGGCTGGTTGCCAGGGAAACTTTCAGTCCCAGCCCTCAACCTCCAGGGAAGGGAGAGGGGCTGGAAGTTGAATCAATCACCAGTGGCCAGTCAGTGATTGAATCAGTTATGCCTATGTAGCGGAGCTTCCATAAAAACCAAAAGGAAGGGGTTTGGAGAGCTTTTGAGTTGGATACCTGGAGGTGTGGGGAGAATGGTTGGCTCTGAGAGGGCAAAGAAGCTGCGCAAACTTTCCCCCCACCTTGCCTTGTACATGTCTTCCATCCGGCAGTCCCTGAGTTATATATGATCTGGTAGTCTAGTAAATAAACTTTCTCTGAGTTCTGTGAGCCACTCTAGCAAATTAATCAAACCAAAGCTGGGGGTGGTCATGGGCACCACAAATTTATAGCCGGTTGGTCAGGAACGCAGGCGACAACCTGGACTTGTGATGGCATTTGAAATGGCTGGTGGGGGGCAGTGTTGTGGGACTGAGCCCTTAACCTGTGGAATCTGATTCTGCCTCTGGGTAGAGAGTGTCGGAATTGAGCTCACTTGCAAGACGCCCAGCTGGACTCACAGCATTGCTTGATGTGTGGAAAGCCCACCCAGCAGGGGTCAGCAGTGAGGCGGCAGAGTAGAGGAGTGTGAGAGTCAGGGAGAGACACACGCAGGGGTGTTTTTCCTTTAGGGACAGGAATGATATTCATCACTGCATTCATTTTGTTAATATAGTTCTTATGCTTTTCTGAAGGACATGTTTTATGCTAGTCTAGGCCTTTTTAGAAAATCTAAATTTGTCTGAAAAGAAAAATGACAGAGTAACTCAGTTACTCAAGAGAAGAAAGTGAACAAGATGAGAAATCCTTCTGTGGTGAGTTCATATTCTGAAATATTAATCTTTCTGTCTCTCTCTCTCTCACGCCTCCCCCACCCCCATCCCCTCCATTTAATTAAACTAGGCCTTTCTTTGCTTATTGAATCAAGGAAGTGATGTGACAGCAAGACAAAGAAAAAAAGGGCCTCTTCCAGGACTTTGAGTTTCCAAAGACAAGGCCTTAGGCGTCAGAAAACATTCAAAGCATGTGATGTGATGAGCACTGGGTGTTATACGCAATTTATTGAACACTACATCTGAAACTAATGATGTACTATAAGTTGGCTAATTCAATTTAAATTAAAAAAAAAAAGAAAAAATATTCAAGGCATAGGCCAGGGGTTTCAAGGGGACAGCTTCCTCCCACCCTTTAGGTCCCTTAGGGGACGTTTGAAAGTGTAGTGAGGGATGGGGTAGGTGTTTGTCACAACAACTGGGAAACATTATCCCATTATGGGCAAACAGTGGGTGGGGCCAGGGATACTAACCATTCTGTAAAAAGTGGGACAATCCTGCATAAGGAGGAAGGACTGACCCCAAGTGCCAAGAGCACCCTTGTTATAAAACTCACTGGTGGGCAAGAATACTGAGAAAAGGAAGCCCCTGTGTATGCTGGTAGGAAGGTAAAATGATGCAGCCGCTGTGGAAACAACATTGCCGTTCCTCAAAAATTAAACAGAATTACCATATGACTCAGTAACTAGATGAGCTTCTCGAATGCCTTGGCTCTGTGTAAACCACCCCAGAATTCATAGGTGACACTAGGGACAAAGATAGTTCCTGAACTGACCGAACGATGGTTTGAAATAGAATTGTAGTCGCTTCATGAAGTTACATTTCTTTTTTTTATTTTTTAAGATTTTATTTATTTATTTGACAGAGAGAGACACAGAGAGAGAGGGAACACAAGCAGGGGGAATAGGAGAGCGAGAAGCAGTCTTCCCTCTGAGCAGAGAGCCTGATGTGGGGCTCGATCCCAGGACCCTGGGATCATGACCTGAGCTGAAGGCAGATGCTTAACGACTGAGCCACCCAGGTGCCCCAAGTTGAATTTCTTGTACACTGAATCTCCAGCCTGGTAGAAAAAAGCCATCCTCACGTTTCTTCCAGCTCTCTAAAGGTTATCCACTTGGGGTCACTTGGGGCCTTCCTGATGGCACTCCCCACTAAATGTTCACTTGTGTGAGAATTTCCATCATCAGCGACTTCAGTTCGCATATTTGAGTGATGCCTTGTCTATTGATTCTTTATTTTACCTGGCCCAGAGGGAAAAAGTCGGCTGTCCAATCTGTCAGAATTTGAAGTTGAAGATGGCAGCACTGAACTAGGTAAGTTAACTGAAATGAATGGTAGGTCCAAGGTGCAAGCTTGGGGCCCCGCCTCCTTTGGCTCTTCCAGCCGAGGTCTCTTCAGCAAGAGCAATGAGAATTGCAGTCTGATGCCTCTTACTCTCTTATGTCCATACCTCTTGCAGCTTCCAGGGTGAGGAGACCCTGCTGCGGTGAGCGGCTGAGTAAATAACTGCCCGAAGTACAGGTGTGGTCTGGAGGTCGAGCTCTTTATACAGGTGTGACTTAGAGCTTTCTCAGAAAAAGGGTAACAAATAGTCACTGCACCAGAAGCAGGAAAGTTTCCTTCCCATCTTCTCTTTCCTCTGGGATCTTGAATGATTAAATGACATTTCCTACTCATGGTTTCATCCAAAATTTAAAAGCAAATAGTCCCTGAGGAAGCGCGTGAATTCAGGGAGCACACTCGGAATATCATAACCTTGGTGACGACACACAGGGGGCAGCTATCTGAGAAGGGCCCGACGTGAAACTAAGAGAAGTCTCGCTCTCCTTCCTCTGGATCCTGCTCTTGCTTCTGGATGAGCGCTGAGAAAGTGAAAACATTCCTGGAAACATTATCAAACGCGCTAACCTGAAATGATTGCTTCTATCTTCTGAAAGGGTGAGCATTTCTTCCCGACCCTCGCACAGGTAGGGGGAAAGGGATCTGACATTTACCTCAAAAGGTAAGGATGTGGGGATTAATGGAGGCAGTGTATGTCACCTGTTTAGCCTAATGCCTAGAACTTGATAATCCTCCGA